GGAAACAACTCAAATGTCCATCAACTGATGAATGGAAAAACAAATGTGATATATCCGTACAATAGAGTATTATTGATCTGTAAGAAGAAATGAAGTACTGATTCATGCTATGATATGGATAAACCTTGAAAACATTATGCTAAGTGAAAGAAGCCTAATACAAAAGACTACATATTGTAACATTCCATTTATATGAAATGCTCAGAACAGTCAGATCCATTGAGATAGAAAGTAGATCATGAGTTGACAGCAGGGTCTGGTGATGGGGAATGGAAATGGTTTTCATCATTCTTTTTGATGTGATGGAAATGTTCTGAAAGTAGATAGTGGTGATGATTGCACACCTTGTAAATATACTAAAAACTACTAAATTGTACACTTTAAAAAGCACATTGAATTTCATCTCAATGCAAAATTTTAAAGAAAACATAAATGATGAATAAACATAAAAAGGCACTGTCACTAGCGATTAAAGAAATGTAAATCCAAACAAAACGTCATTTTTTCATTGACTTGGCAAACTCCATGCTGACAAAAGTGATAAGCGCATACACTGCTCTTAGAACTGTAAAATGATCCATCCTTTCCAGAAGTTGGTATACGTACTAAGAAGCTTAAAATGCTGATTCTGTTTAACTTAGTCACCCCAATTCTAGGAATGTGCATTCCATCTTTGGCAGACCATGTAGAAAGAGGGCCTTTATCATTTATTATGAATCTCCTTTTCCCTCAAAGCTAGGTAGTAAAAATGTGTGTCACCCTTACCCTGGGCCTACTTGGAGTCTATGTGATAGTTTACATCATTTCTATTTTCTTACTTCTACAAAATGCTTCTACCTTACTGATCTGATCTGGATGATGAAGTTGTCTGTTCAGCTCCCAGAAACTTTTCCCTAAAACGCAACCAGTGCAGTCACCTTTTTAATATTCCTGGTACCACGCTTTCATTGTGCAATCATCACAACTCTCTATCACATATAGTCCCGCAAAAAGACTCATGTGCCTCTAAAAATAAGGACATTTTCTAGAACCACACTGCTTGGATTTGAATTCCAGCTTAGCTGCTTGCCAGCTATCTGGGCTGGGTCTCGTTTCATAATCACACAGAGTTATTTTAAGAATTAAATAATGAATATATGGAAAGTGTTCAGAGCAGTCCCAGCACATAATGAACCCTCGCTTTGCATTAGCTATTATTATTATTATTATTATTATTATTATTATTATTATTATCACCTCATAGAGATATTGTGAAGCTCAAATAAGATAATGTACATGAAATTTTAAAAATGTACTGTTACTATGATTTTGTGTTATGGTGACATATATTCCTCATCCTCACAGATTTTAGAAAAACATTTTTAATGGCACACATTGCACATAAATGCTCAAAACTTTGTATTTTAAGTAAATGTTATTTTCATGATCAAATCACTATTGACTTCCAATTATGTTTAGAATAAAGTCTAAATACCATCACCCAAGATGGCTCACAATCTTCCTATAACATATAGATCCATTCATGTCGTCCACTCCAGTCTTCAAAGTGAAGTCCACAATCCACTGCAGTGTGACAGGAAAATTTGACAAATTTTATCTCTATTTCATTTTCATCTCAACAATTGTAAATTTCCATTTTTTGTATGTATCATCATTAATGTATGCAGAAATACTGTGAAAATGCTATAATACATAAACAAATGTTAGATGTGTATTGGAAGTGCAGGCTCAAACAATTTGTACTAAAGGAGTGTGCTGTCTAGAAAGTCTAAAGGTCAGTGCATTCTCTCACAACACAGCCCCTTCTCCTGGTGCCAAAAGCTCTCTATTCAGCTCCTCCTAAAACACAGTTTATATCTCTGTGCTTCCAAATCTGGCTCGCAACCAGTCTGTTAGGCTGAAATGACAGTATGGCAGCCACTCCTTTTCAAGCTACAACTTGCATTCTTCACACCACAACTTAACCATCAGCAAATGGAAGTTTCTTAAAAGAAGGGTCTCTATGTGGTCCTCATGGTATCACCCCTAAGTTCCCACAACCGCACCACACTACAGGGTTTTCCATAATAACCGGCACAGAAAAAGCTCCGAATCAGTGCTTGTTGAATGAATAATCTAACACAGAGATTGCTATTCGGAGGCAGGAGAGACTGCCAGTGAACAGCAAAGGCTCAGATCCTGGCTCCTCTGCTTACAAAAAGGGCCCCAAACCTCAAATTCTTCCTCTGTGAAGGTAATCAGAGTACCTCTCTCATAGGGCTGCTGTGAGTTTAAATTAAACACCTGGAACCTAACAAGGACTTGATGAATATTAGTATTATCATGGTCTCCCAGAGATGTAAACATAGTCTGTAAAGCATCTAATGCATGTTGAGTGAAAAAGTGACTGAATCTTCCATACCAGTCATGGTTTTTGGAATAACTCTTTGTGACTTTCTTTCTCCTTCTTTCTCCATGATCACCTCATGTTTACAGACAACTTTCTTGAGATGCTCGTGGCACTATTCACCTGGACTGATTAGTTCATGTATTCTTTCATGACTTCTGAATTAATCTCCTTAAGAAGAACAGCCATGTTTCACTTTGTTTTAATAGTATAATTGCTGCTGCTATTCTTCCTGCTGTGCGTTTCAATGAGATAGCTTCTCCATGTTTCCAAAAAAATGTGCTGTGGACCTGGTGGATAAGGTTTTCTTTCCTTTGAATGCAAAAAGAGATGTCAATAGTATCTCTTTTTGCATAGTTTTACTCACATGCAGTTATTTATAAATGTTTTTGGAACTAATACTAGTTAATTCTCTGCCCAGATAATAAAATTAAATTAAAAATTAGCTTGACTCAGAAAGATTAATTTCACATCATTGAATGCAGAAAATGTCAAAAATTCATGAAATGTAGAATATGGCAATAGCCATTTAGTGTTCACCCTTTTTTGCTTATCAATGTGCAACATCAGGAACCTCTGTGGTACAATGTTCAATATCATCCTGGAAATATGATTTCTCAAATCCTTCCAAGAGTTATAACACTGAATTTCCCAGGGTGTCATGCCACTGCAGCATGAGTATGTGGAGAAGGCAGTGGAATGGACTGGGGGCATATTAGACAATTCCTTCCATTGTATGAATATTTGAGAGTGTTTTCCTTTGCCATATGGGGCTTTAGGAACTGATTATTTGTTAAATCAATATTTCTCACTATATTTATACAGATCTTAACTAATAAAAAAATCAATTTTTGTAAATGATGTAATTGTCTATGTAGAAAAATCCCAAAGAATCAACAACAAAACCTCCTGGAAGCAATAAGCATTTAGCATAAGGTTTCAGGATATGGTTAATACTCCAAAGTCAATTGCTTTCCTATATACCTGCAATGAACAATTCAAAACAATTACTTATAATATGAAATACTTAGGTAAAGATCTGACAAAATATGAAAAGGATCTATATGAGGAAGAGTACAAAACTGATGAGAAAGTCAAAAAAAAGATCTAGGTAACTGAAAAGATATTCCATGATCATAAATAGGAAGACAACACTTTTAACGTATCAGTTAAGATCTGAGCAGATACCTCACCAAAGAAGATACATAGATCTAACAAGTGTATGAAAAGGTGCTCAACATCATATGACATTAGGGAACTGTCCATTAAAACAATAATGAGACACCATGACACAATTTTTAGGATGGCTGAATTGCAAAATGCTGACAACACCAAACACTGGTGAGGATGTGAAGCATCAGGAACTCTCATTCACTGGTGAGAATGCAAAGTGGTAGTCACTTTGGGAAAACAGTTTGGCAATTTATTGCTAAACATAGTCTTACCATATGAGCCAACAATCACTCTGCTAGGTACTTATCCAAATGAGTTGAAAACATACAAAATCCTTCATATAGATATTTATAGAAGCTTTATTTATAACTGCCAAAAAATTGGAAGCAACGAAGATGTGTCCTTAATCAGTGGATGGAGAAATAAACTGAGGTATATCCAGTCAATGGAATCTTATTTAGCAATAAAAAGAAAAGAGCTATCACACCAAAAAGTCATGGAAGAACCTGAAACACACATTGCTAAGTGAGCGAATCCAGTCTGAAAAATCTACATGCTCCACGATTCCAACTATATGACATTCTAGAAAGGCAAACCACAAAGCCCATAAGCATATCAGTGGCCGTCTGAGTTCAAGGGGAGGGAGGGAGTGATAAATAAGTGGAGCACAGGACAGTGAAACTATTCTGTATGATTCTGTAATGGTGGATACATGACATTACACAGTTGTCAAAATCCATAGAATGTACAACACAGAGTGAAGCCTAATGTCAACTATGAACTTTAATTAATAATAAAGTATCAGTATTGGTTCATCAATTGTAACAAATGTACCACACACCTGAAAGATGTGAATGAGAGGGGAAATAGTGCAGAGGGAAAGTGGGTACATGAGAAGTCTCTATGCTCAACTTTTCTGCAAACCTAAAATTTCTCTAGAAAATAAAATCTATTATAAAAAAATTGTTCACAGTAAATTAAAAAATTAACTCACAGCAAAGTATACACATATATGTTTAAAAACACATGTGTAATATATATGTATATATACACATTCAGATAAAATAACTATACATCTCTTTTCACAATAAATTTTTAATGATATATTGTTATTCTCCCTCTCCCATGTAATGCTTCTCCAGGGACTGTCATTGGATGATGAAAAAATGCAGCTAAGTTATTCTAAATTATGTTCATAAGAAGGAAAGTAGGGATGAAATGGATAGTTGTGGGAGTCTGAAGTTTCAGTAAAGAATTATTTTTAAAGGGTAGAAAGATATCAACCATAAAAATATATAGTTACTAGCTCACTAATTCTTTAGTGATCTCACTTTCTTTCAAGGAATGTAGATGGATATTGCATATAAAACTTCATGCCAACAGTATATATCACATTTTCCCAAGGAGTTAAAAACGTGAGGATAACAAAACAAACACATACCAAGTCCTCAATGCTGATCTTTAGAACATTCCGATATTCTCTGCCGTCTTTACCTTTAATATCACAATCAAATGAGGCTACTGGCAACAAAACAAGGATCAGGGGAGGAATTCCAAAGACATACCTAGAAGAAACTAAATTCAACAGTAAGTTAGAATAAGTGAAATATTGTAAGTAATATTATATAATTTATGGTGTTTCAATGAGTCTAATAAAAATGCATCTCAGTTTTTTGATAGTGGGGGAAATTCAACATGATGTGGCAACCAAAGTAAGACAGCATTTTAGAGTTTACTTTTTTGCATTTAGCATTTAGCATTTAGCATTTTTGCATTTAGCAATTACTCTTTTGGGAAAGTTCAGAACAGGTATGATGAGAGCAGAGTCTGTTTGTTTCTGAAACACACTCTAGGATGTAAATACAGTTTATTCCATTTCAGTTTGTTCAGGATTCCTACAAGACAAGGCAGCTACAAATAAACAGGCAAAGTATTGGAGGAAAAAGTTGCAGATTTTTGAAGTTTTACGATCTATGGCATGTGATTGTATATTTAAATAAAACCTGTTGATTGTCCAAGTGTCCATCTGATTTCTAGAAGCAGCACAGTAGGAGGGCTCTCTATGGTCCTGTACTGTGACTATAGCCTTTCTTTTTAATAATAGACCTTAAAGGACTTACCTTTCCTAGAAATGTGGCAAAGTTCACTTTTTTGGAACTTCTTATCTTTTCAGTGTTTTCTGTTTCTAAGTGCCCAGAAACCTGTATTTCTTCAAACACTGCTCTCTCTAGCTTCTTGACATATTAGAAAAACCCAATAAAGAAATTCACACCCTGTTGACTAATGATTTACATCTATTTTTGATAAGCTTCCCCTATTAAGGGCAAGTGTCTAATCAAAAGGAATGAAATTATAAATGGTATAATTTCAGGCACGCACTGGATGGAAAGCCAGTGATTCCCAAAGATAATAAAATCTAGCTGTGCAGCCACTTATTTCTTCATAAACCTTACCAGAATGTTTTATTTGAGTCTTTCTGTAAACTCTTGAGTTATGTTGACAATATATTTCCTGTGAATTCCCAAATGAAGTTTAACTCTACTTGTTCAGGGCAAGACATTTCACATGTGTGCCTTTTCTGATTAAGATCACAAGCAATTCTCCTTGGAATCCAAAGAACAATTGTTGTGACAAGAACCTGAAGACTGAAATGCATCACAAAGTTTCCAACAACGCTGGCACCTACTGTGTCATTATTTGTCATATAAAAATCAGTAACACTCACCAGTGAATTATGTGCTATTACTGACCCACATTTTCACAAATGAGAAAGTAGACCAGGTCTTAGGGGAACAAACATGCATACTTCATCTCATCTTCTTATGTCACTGACACTTGACAAGGTAAGGGAAACAAAATGAAACGTGGAACCTACTCATAGCTCTGGTGCTACTAAGTGACTATGAGCTTGACAAGCAAGAATTCACTAAGGAAATAAATAACGATGATGCTAGTTACCTTTACCTAAGCCTGCTTTCCGCCAGCCATTCTTTGGTGTCTTATACATATTATCTCTAAAGAAACAGTCCTGCAAGCTAATCTTCTTGCAAAACAGATAGTAGGTGCCAGGGCTGAATTCTAACCTGAGCATACAGCCTCAACAGGATTTTATCAGAAATGGTCATAATCTTTTGACAAGAAACATATTGGGCTTCTGAATGAAAACCACTTCTATGTAATATTATACATCAAGCCTCTCTCTCTTCCACTACTGTTCCTTCCCTCTGAAGATTCAAATAATGATCAATTGCTAGTTATTTACTAGGGTCCTGACTTTGTAATTAGATTTGTATATATTGTACAGAGCCAAACTTTATTTTCACTGTCATCTTACAGGGGTCCAAAAAGTATGCTTTGGGAACAGTAGATACTAAAAGAACCTACACAGCATACAACTTGAAATGAGCTTAAGGGGAGCATAATAAAACAATTAAATACTAGAATGTAAAATACATTTTTATCATTGCATATAAATATTACTTCAAAAGTCTACCTTTTATGTTTTAATAAAGGAGGTCATTTTATTTCCGGTGAGCACAAGCTGTTGTGTTCTCTTCAATGTTCAGTAGTTTTTCCAAATTGCACATCAACCTATGTTATTTATTAGATGGCTTTTTAGCAATGCTTTTAAAAGGTGACTTGGTGAAAAATTCAGTCTTTTTTGGGTATTACAACCATTCTCAATCCTAAAACATTATTTTCCTTGTTTGTAAACCTTGTCTTTTGTTGCCATTGTTGCTAAATAAGTTAGTCCCACAGACACCAGGGTCTGGGGATGGAGACTTGGGGTTTCTGTCTTATATGACAATGGGTTGTGTGACTTGGTGAATGACAGAGCATCTTTTCAGCCTCATTTACCTGATTTGTAAAATGAAAACTTTAGGCTAAATGATCTCTTAATGTCTCTTTCAACTCTCAAGCATCTTAACTCTAAGCATCTACCTGACCATCTAAATACAGTAACTATTTAGATTTGAAATTGCCTGATGGACAATACAGCAAACACACACAGGGCTTTGGGTTTCATAAGTTTCTAGCCCTGTCATTAATGACTTGCAGTTACACCTGCAGTTGCAGTCTTTTCTCCACAGCACAGAGAGAGTAACATATTAATATCACCTAGTCTGAGCATGCTGTTCACATTGTCACTATAGGAAAGAACTCTTTTATTTTACATTGTTTCAGATTATACATGGATACCCACTCCTTCCTCTCTTACCCTGAACTTTTCATTAAGTTACAGGAAAGATAAACCATAAAGAAATAATGCAAGAAAAGCTTGGGCCTGTGAATTGTCTTTCGATCTACTGAAGGGACTGAAACTGGAGAATTTGTTTTCAGTAGGGAATTTGGTTAAACCAGAATTATGACTGAATAAAAAACTCTTGATGGTTTTTGATTTAATCCAAACAATACATTCAGTCCTCAGCTGCATAAGTTATGGAGTGAAAGAGAACATAAACAAATTAGTTTTACAGTCCACCAAGTGCAATCTTTCAGAAATCCTTAAGACCAATAAGTGTTTACTGACTGTCCATTATAAACATTTTGTAGGCTGATTTTCACTGTGAATTTTAAAAAATATAATCCAAAGACATTCAGGATGGGATAGAAGAAATCTGAATATATAAGATGTGGTCTTAATATGAATAATTGGCACAAGCAAATGGGTGCATAAAGAAAAAGCTAAATTAATAAACAGTAGAGAACAACTATGTGTTGTATGAAAATCACCTTTCACCTTTTTAAAGTTACAAATATGAATATTATCCTCATATAAAGAAATGTAATATCTGCAAGAACCAATATTAAGACTGGACTGTAAATTCTACCCATAAATTCCATGAAAAATACTTAAAGACACTTCCTCATCCATCCTATGATATTGCATACAATATTTCCTCCAATCCTATAACCACTTCAATAAGCAAATACTACATTTATTCACATTTTTGAGGGGGATAATCTGGGGCACAAAAAACTTCATATATAATGTGACTAGTAAGAGTCAGGATTCATATCAAAGTGTGTCAGGTTGAAGACTAGAAACTGGGCTTTTAGTCACTGAGCTACACTGCTTCCTGCAAAAGTATGCGTGTGTAGTCAAGGGGAATGCACAAAGAGACGTCTCTTTCTGCATTAACCTCACTTACTTCCTGGCCAAGTTTTGAAATACCGCATCATACACTCTAAATGTCAGGAAAAAAAGACACTAAGTATTTACTCTTATTACACTAGGTTATGTGTCAGAGGTGAGACCAGAAAAAAATCTCAAGTGCATGAGTATGAATGACATATAAATTGGTCCTATGAAATAACCTTCTCTATTTTTGCTTAAAATATTTAAACATTGATGTGGTATCATGTGTATTTCTCCTTTATACTATTCACACTTTCTAATCTTTCTCAGTTCTCTGTTTTTATTACTATCATATTTTTCAATCCCCAAATGTTTAAATTACCTAAACCAGACAGCACAGTTGAGGACCACACAGTAGGTCCTTAACTACTTCAACTCTCATAAGAAGTAGCAAAGAAAGAGGATAAAGAGTAACCCTATCCTTCAGCTTCTAGTGAAATCTATTGGAACAAAGATTTGATTGCAGAAAGCAACTCATTATAATCATTATTATTAGAAGTTTAGAATTCTAATACTTTGTTTACTAATAAGTTTAAAAATATAGATATACTTCGGGACAAAAGGGCTCCTTGTTCATAGTGCACACCCTAGCTTCCTTTCTTGATCATAGGTGATAATTAGAACCAGGAGAGATGCAGAGGAAAGCAGCAACTGCAGGAGATCCGTGGGCCCCTTTATAAGGAGAACGGGGTATACCTAATTCCTAATTCTATACGTATTAAACTTCTGGAAGGCACCCATTACAATCTTCCTCCGTAATTGTCTTCAATACTAAAACCCCAGCCCCCTTTACTTTGTTACTGACCTGGTACTTCTTGGCTATGTCATTTCTTGATTCTTTAATACCTATGAGAGGGGAAAGGGCTCTGTTGATCTAACGGTGCAGCCAGGAAAGCGCAAAGAGCAGGCATCAAACCCCAGAAAAATCTGCTCCCTTTCCTTGCACCCTTCTCCTCCCGGCTGGTTTTGTAGTGGGAGTATTTGCTACAAAGCATTCCAGTTTCCCTCAAATAATTCACTCTCATCGCGTCTCTTCCCCATTTTTTTTCTTCCAGTAAACTTTTTGGCCCTTTATATTGGCCATATGGTGCCAAAGGAATCCAGCTCACCTCAACTCTGCCCTTGTCCATTTTAAATCCATATTCCGCACAAATAAAATATATTCGATCTTAGCAAAGGTCTACAATTCAGTTATGCCCGTGCTATCCTGCCTCCCAGGAGCACCCAAACAGGAAAAATGAAAAATCCGAGGCCTTCTTCAGAGGCCAGCCCACGGACTTGGGTTCCCAGCAAAAGACACAAGGTACAGCCCCAGTCGGAAACTCCCCAGCGCGGCTGAGGGGTGGAAACGGGGTTTTCCAGAGCCCTGGCCCCTTCGGGTTTAAGAGCGCGTCCCGTGGGAGCTTCTCTTTCACTTCTCTGGGGAGTTCGGGGCTACAAGACTTCGCGGATCCCGGGCGCCTGTGAGGAATTCGGCGGGGCCAGAGGCACGGGAGGGCGACTTGGGCGCCGGGTTGACAGGGCAGAGCTGGCTAGGGAAGACTGACGGAAAGCCATTGGCTGCCTCTGCGACCCGGCTGCGGGCTGCCTGCGCGGAGCGGCGCGGGAACTGCGGCGCTCGGTCTCCGGACAGAAAGCAGGCGTCGGGGACTGTCCTCGCAGCCTGCCAGGCGCGCAGCCCCGAGTGCAAGTGGCAATGGGCCAGGGTACTCGGGCGCGGCTGCCGGCTGCCTGCGGGAGAGTCAGTGCTCTGGGCTGGTCCAAAGTGCAAGGCCCGCTGTTCCCGGACGTGCCTGGGCGCGGGCCCGGGCAACGCGCCCCGGAGTCCCCCGGCGTGCCGGGCGCGCCAACTTAGGCGCCCGGGAGAGGAGCGCTTACCATGGAACATGGTCTGCGGGAGGCGGGCGTGGTCATGATGACCGCAGCGGCCTCAGGAGCAAGCTCTCACCGCCCATGGTCACCGCCAGGGCCCTGGTCTGCCGCCGAGCCGCCGCGAGCCGGTGCCGTGTAGGGCCCTCTCTGCCGCTGGTTCCTCTTACCCACACCGCGCCTGCTGCTTCATCCATCCCAACGGGGGCGGCACACACCACCGCCCGGCTCTGCGCTTTGCCTTTCCCATAACTTCCGTAGGATCAGCCGGCAGTGTACTTTCAGTTTCTGCTTTGTGCCTGGTCTGCAGGTTCAATCTTCGGGTTCATCACCGGGCGCCTTCACCGCCCCCCCTCTCCTGGGCACCTGCGTCCTCCCCTAGCACTTCCTGTGCACCTGGACCAGGACCAGAGGAGGGCGCGAATTTATAACGCACCGCCAAGGAAGGAACAAGCTGGCCTGCTGAATCCGAGCAACTCGAGGCGAAAGACTCCGGATGACCTCTAACCGCCTTGGCAAAGCTAGGCGACTGGGAGCTAAAAGCATAGGTTCCTAATGTGTCCACGGAAGCTACAGATGTGTAGGGCGCAAACTGGGCTATTGCAACCCGACGCCGCGCAAGAGGCGTTGCAGCTTTTGCCGCGGATGTGGTGGATGATGCCAAACCATCTTGTGAAAAAAAAAGGAAGTAAAGAATGATTAAGGATGGTCACACCCTCAGCCCCTCCAACCTCTGTAATCAGTCTCTTTCTGTTCTGTCATTTGTGCGTGCACTTGCCCAGGTGAGACCTCAAAGAAAAAATAATCGTGTGGGTTCACCTAATCTGGTAAGTGGTATCTTTGGACGTGAAAATCAAATCCCAAATTAGGTGGAGGAAAGGGAGACTGACTCTAATACTTAGAAATTATCATTTCCACGTGTTCATTTTTCTGAACTGGCTAATAAATCAGTCTATCCATTTTGACTGTGTGTTTCTTCAGGGGTTCATTTTTTTCTAGGCCTAAATTATTTAGGTATTTCCTGTCATAGTTTGTTCTATGATACTTTGCAGAAACCCTGCTTAAATGAAGGTGGGTGATGTAAAGTAAAAGCAGCTGCCTTTATCTATCATTAGTTCTCTGCTAGTATAGTGCTAAGG